CTCACGGTCTCTCTCACAGTCTCTCTCACAGTCTCTCTCACAGACTCTCTCACAGACTCTCACAGTCTCTCTCACGGTCTCTCTCACGGTCTCTCTCACAGTCTCTCTCACAGTCTCTCTCACGGTCTCTCTCACAGTCTCTCTCACAGTCTCTCTCACGGTCTCTCTCACAGTCTCTCTCACAGACTCTCTCACAGTCTCTCTCACAGTCTCTCTCACAGACTCTCTCACAGACTCTCACAGTCTCTCTCACAGTCTCTCTCACGGTCTCTCTCACAGTCTCTCTCACAGTCTCTCTCACAGACTCTCTCACAGACTCTCACGGTCTCTCTCACAGTCTCTCTCACAGTCTCTCTCACAGTCTCTCTCACGGTCTCTCTCACAGTCTCTCTCACAGACTCTCTCACAGACTCTCACAGTCTCTCTCACAATCTCTCTCACAGTCTCTCTCACAGTCTCTCTCACAGACTCTCTCACAGTCTCTCTCACAGTCTCTCTCACAGTCTCTCTCAGTCTCTCTCACAGTCTCTCTCACAGACTCTCACAGTCTCTCTCACAGTCTCTCTCACAGACTCTCTCACAGTCTCTCTCACGGTCTATCTCACAGTCTCTCTCACGGTCTCTCTCACGGTCTCTCTCACAGTCTCTCTCACAGTCTCTCTCACAGACTCTCTCACAGTCTCTCTCACAGTCTCTCTCACAGTCTCTCTCAGTCTCTCTCACAGTCTCTCTCACAGTCTCTCTCACAGACTCTCACAGTCTCTCTCACAGTCTCTCTCACGGTCTCTCTCACGGTCTCTCTCACGGTCTCTCTCACAGTCTCTCTCACAGACTCTCACAGTCTCTCTCACAGTCTCTCTCACGGTCTCTCCCACGGTCTCTCTCACAGTCTCTCTCACAGTCTCTCTCACAGACTCTCTCACAGTCTCTCTCACAGTCTCTCTCACAGTCTCTCTCAGTCTCTCTCACAGACTCTCACAGTCTCTCTCACAGTCTCTCTCACAGACTCTCACAGTCTCTCTCACAGTCTCTCTCACAGACTCTCTCACAGTCTCTCTCACAGACTCTCTCACAGTCTCTCTCACGGTCTCTCTCACAGTCTCTCTCACAGACTCTCTCACAGACTCTCACAGTCTCTCTCACGGTCTCTCTCACAATCTCTCTCACAGTCTCTCTCACAGTCTCTCTCACAGACTCTCTCACAGACTCTCACAGTCTCTCTCACAATCTCTCTCACAGACTCTCTCACGGTCTCTCTCACGGTCTCTCTCACAGACTCTCTCACAGTCTCTCTCACAGTCTCTCTCACAGACTCTCTCACAGTCTCTCTCACAGTCTCTCTCACGGTCTCTCTCACAGTCTCTCTCACAGACTCTCTCACAGACTCTCACAGTCTCTCTCACGGTCTCTCTCTCACAATCTCTCTCACGGTCTCTCTCACAGTCTCTCTCACAGTCTCTCTCACGGTCTCTCTCACGGTCTCTCTCACAGACTCTCACAGTCTCTCTCACAATCTCTCTCACAGACTCTCTCACGGTCTCTCTCACGGTCTCTCTCACAGACTCTCTCACAGTCTCTCTCACAGTCTCTCTCACAGTCTCTCTCACAGACTCTCTCACAGACTCTCACAGTCTCTCTCACAGTCTCTCTCACAGTCTCTCTCACAGACTCTCTCACGGTCTCTCTCACAGTCTCTCCCACAGTCTCTCTCACAGTCTCTCCCACAGTCTCTCTCACAGACTCTCACAGTCTCTCTCACAATCTCTCTCACAGTCTCTCTCACGGTCTCTCTCACGGTCTCTCTCACAGTCTCTCTCACAGTCTCTCTCACGGTCTCTCTCACAGTCTCTCTCACAGACTCTCACAGTCTCTCTCACAATCTCTCTCACAGACTCTCTCACGGTCTCTCTCACACGGTCTCTCTCACAGACTCTCTCACGGTCTCTCTCACGGTCTCTCTCACAGTCTCTCTCACAGTCTCTCTCACAGACTCTCTCACAGACTCTCACAGTCTCTCTCACAGTCTCTCTCACAGTCTCTCTCACAGACTCTCTCACAGACTCTCACAGTCTCTCTCACAGTCTCTCTCACAGTCTCTCTCACAGTCTCTCTCACAGACTCTCTCACAGTCTCTCTCACAGACTCTCACAGTCTCTCTCACAGTCTCTCTCACAGTCTCTCTCACGGTCTCTCTCACGGTCTCTCTCACAGACTCTCTCACGGTCTCTCTCACGGTCTCTCTCACAGACTCTCTCACAGTCTCTCTCACAGACTCTCACAGTCTCTCTCACAGTCTCTCTCACAGTCTCTCTCTCACGGTCTCTCTCACGGTCTCTCTCACAGACTCTCTCACGGTCTCTCTCACGGTCTCTCTCACGGTCTCTCTCACAGTCTCTCTCACAGTCTCTCTCACAGTCTCTCTCACAGTCTCTCTCACGGTCTCTCTCACAGACTCTCTCACGGTCTCTCTCACGGTCTCTCTCACAGTCTCTCTCACAGTCTCTCTCACAGTCTCTCTCACGGTCTCTCTCACAGACTCTCTCACGGTCTCTCTCACGGTCTCTCTCACAGTCTCTCTCACACAGTCTCTCTCACAGTCTCTCTCACAGACTCTCACAGTCTCTCTCACAGACTCTCTCACAGACTCTCACAGTCTCTCTCACAGTCTCTCTCACAGTCTCTCTCACGGTCTCTCTCACGGTCTCTCTCACAGACTCTCTCACGGTCTCTCTCACAGTCTCTCTCACGGTCTCTCTCACAGACTCTCTCACGGTCTCTCTCACAGTCTCTCTCACGGTCTCTCTCACAGTCTCTCTCACGGTCTCTCTCACGGTCTCTCTCACAGTCTCTCTCACGGTCTCTCTCACAGTAGTGCTAACTGATGTATGTCTCTGGACCCTCGCTACAGTGGTCCGGGGTCCACTCTACACTAAACGTTGTGAGGTGGACCATAACCGTGTGTGCGTCCGTCCTGGTGTTTGAGGCCTCCTTGTGTTGTGTGTGTCTGTGTCTCCTCAGGTATGAGTTTGTGTGTGATTGTGAGTGAGTCTGTGAGCACAGGTACGTATCCTCCCGGTGAGTATGGTGAGCATGTCTCGTCTCATTCCTTTGTGTGTTTTTATATTTCTGTTCCATGCTGCAATAAAGAATATCTAGATAAGTTAAAATGACTTGGATTCAGACTTTTGTTTGTTTGTGGTTTTGGTGCGTTTAGGTTTAGTCTTTGTTACTCACTGGTTTGTTTTGCTGGAGGTTGTTGTAGGTGTTTCTGTGTTTAGTCCTGCCCCTGCCTGTGGGAGAGGGGTACAGTTCTAGTTAAATAAATACATGTCTGACCCTCTCGTCTAGATTAGACTCACATTGACTGTCATTACAACATCAGGACAATGCAGTTGTGGTACCACATCTACCACATTCAACTTAACAGTGGTTCTTCGACACCGCAGGATAAATAATAAATAATTCATTCATATTAAGCGGTTGCAGGACCCTGCCTTTCCTACAGTGGCTTAACTCACACAATAACAGAGTTGTCATTGCTGTTTACACAATAGATCCTTCCACCTTTGTTTCCAAAACCTAACTCAAACTTAAACACAGTCCTTCTGACAAACTCACAAACACAAAAGCCATCGTTCGTGGTCGCATTCCAAGGAGACGAGTCTGTAGAGAGAGAGCTCAGTCTCGTGTCCAGAGCATGTCTGACCTCAGTCGGCTGCAGGGCGGTTTAGAAGGAGACACAGCTCCACTTCCTCAGTCACAGCTGCACAAAGAGACCGTTGGTGTTTAGCATCAATCAAAGAAACGTTGGCCAGGCCTAGTCTGGTCCCGTTTGCACACCACCCCAGGCCAGGCCTAGTCTGGTCCCGTTTGCTGCTCAGAAGACTACAGTGAATTTCAATACAATATATTTTAGCCACATACCACTTGAATTACATATTACTACATTAAAATGATAACTTAATACACATTCCAATGACACTAACACTAAGATGATTGTAGAGCTACACACCTGAGCCTAGGTAGAGCTACACACCTGAGCCTAGGTAGAGCTACACACCTGAGCCTAGGTAGAGCTACACACCTGAGCCTAGTTAGAGCTACACACCTGAGCCTAGGTAGAGCTACACACCTGAGCCTAGGTAGAGCTACACACCTGAGCCTAGGTAGAGCTACACACTTGAGCCTAGGTAGAGCTACACACCTGAGCCTAGGTAGAGCTACACACCTGAGCCTAGTTAGAGCTACACACCTGAGCCTAGGTAGAGCTACACACCTGAGCCTAGGTAGAGCTACACACCTGAGCCTAGGTAGAGCTACACACCTGAGCCTAGGTAGAGCTACACACCTGAGCCTAGGTAGAGCTACACACTTGAGCCTAGGTAGAGCTACACACCTGAGCCTAGTTAGAGCTACACACCTGAGCCTAGTTAGAGCTACACACCTGAGCCTAGGTAGAGCTACACACCTGAGCCTAGGTAGAGCTACACACCTGAGCCTAGTTAGAGCTACACACCTGAGCCTAGTTAGAGCTACACACCTGAGCCTAGGTAGAGTTAGGGCCAGGTGTGTAGCAGAATTATCTCAGCAGTAGTGGTTCTCAACCGATGTAATTTTATATTAAACCACTAGATGTCGCCAGAAAACTCCAACTCGCTCCAGGGGCATGTGAGAGACTTGGATGGGTTCATACCACAGGCACAGACTGACATCACACACAACAACTGACATCACACACAACAACTGACATCACACACACCAACTGACGTCACACACACCAACTGACATCACACACAACAACTGACATCACACACAACAACTGACATCACACACAACAACTGACATCACACACACCAACTGACGTCACACACACCAACTGACATCACACACAACAACTGACATTACACACAACAACTGACGTCACACACACCAACTGACATCACACACAACAACTGACATCACACACACCAACTGACATCACACACACACACCAACTGACATCACACACACCAACTGACGTCACACACACCAACTGACATCACACACAACAACTGACATTACACACAACAACTGACGTCACACACACCAACTGACATCACACACAACAACTGACATCACACACACCAACTGACATCACACACACACACCAACTGACATCACACACACCAACTGACGTCACACACACCAACTGACGTCACACATCACTCCATAGCCAATGAGAGGCCAGGACCAACATTCAGATGTAGTGCCACCAAAAAGGTATAGAGGGCGCCACACAGACAGTTTTTAGGCTCAAAAGTAAGATTTGATCTACTTTGCACTAAAATGTCAAAAAAAAAACACCATAATTAACATATTTATGCAGTTTATTGATTTGGTGTATGATACAAATGTTGAAACCAGAAACAATCGTATCCAAACGTACCAAAGGCGGCCACAGTCTGAGTCCGTGTCGTCCTAACTCCTGTAGACATCTTTGTTTGCGGCGTGTTGTGCGTTTGAGTGACAGCGTGTGTGTTTGCGTCGCACTGACTTGGACCTGATGCCTTCACAGTGCTGAGCATCGGAGAGGGCGGGTACTGGGAGGGCACGGTCCGGGGCAGGACGGGCTGGTTCCCCTCGGACTGTGTGGAAGAGGTGCTGCTCAAACAGGACCCCCGCTCAGGTAAGACTGGCTCAATCAGTCTGTTAGTCATATATACATCTGTCTGCATGTCCTTAATGAGTCTGTTAGTTATATATATACATCTGTCTGCATGTCCTTAATGAGTCTGTTAGTTATATATATACATCTGTCTGCATGTCCTTAATGAGTCTGTTAGTTATATATATACATCTGTCTGCATGTCCTTAATGAGTCTGTTAGTTATATATATACATCTGTCTGCATGTCCTTAATGAGTCTGTTAGTTATATATAGACATGTGTCTGCATGTCCTTAATGAGTCTGTTAGTTATATATAGACATGTGTCTGCATGTCCTTAATGAGTCTGTTAGTTATATATAGACATGTGTCTGCATGTCCTTAATGAGTCTGTTAGTTATATATAGACATGTGTCTGCATGTCCTTAATGAGTCTGTTAGTTATATATAGACATGTGTCTGCATGTCCTTAATGAGTCTGTTAGTTATATATAGACATGTGTCTGCATGTCCTTAATGAGTCTGTTAGTTATATATAGACATGTGTCTGCATGTCCTTAATGAGTCTGTTAGTTATATATAGACATGTGTCTGCATGTCCTTAATGAGTCTGTTAGTTATATATAGACATGTGTCTGCATGTCCTTAATGAAGTCTAAATAATACATAATAAAGTGTAAATAATTATTAATGAAGTTTAAATAATACATAATAAAGTGTAAATAATAAATAATAGTCTAAATAATAAATAGTCTAAATCAGAATCAGAATCAGAATCAGAATCAGAATCAGAATCATTTTTATTGCCAACGTAAGTAACGGGAGGTCACAGACTTGGAAATTGCTTTGGCTCAGTGCAACAGTCGAAAAGAGATAATAAAAATAAGAATAAAAAACACTTCTAAAGAATAAATTTAAATTTAAAATAGAGTTACAGTTACTATTTACAATATACAAGTGCACATGGTGCACACAATGTAAGGTGACAGCAGTACAGTGAAGTAAAGTGACGTATGATGGGCAGTAAAGTGACTTTATAAAGGGCGGGGGGACAGGTTAAGAAGTGTTCAAGAGTCCAACAGCAGAGGGGAAGAAACTGTTCTTGTGGCGGGAGGTTCTAGTCCTGATGGACCGCAGCCTCCTGCCTGAGGGGAGTGGTTGGAATAGTCCATGTGCAGGGTGAGAGGGGTCGGCTGTGATACGACCAGCCCGGCCTCGAGCTCGGGCGACGTACAGGTCCTGCAGCGATGGAAGGCTGCGGCCGATCACTTCCTCTGCAGAGCGCACAATGCGCTGTAGTCTCTGTTTGTCCCTGACTGTGGCTCCAGCGAACCACACGGTGATGGAGGAGGTGAGGATGGACTCGATGATGGCCGTGTAGAACTGCACCAACATCTGTGCAGGCAGCTTGGCTTTCCTGAGCTGCCGCAGGAAGTACATCCTCTGCTGGGCCTTCTTGATGAGGGAGCTGATGGTCGGCTCCCACTTGAGGTCCTGGGTGATGGTGGTGCCCAGGAAACGGAAGGACTCCACAGAGGTGATGGGGGAGTCCATCACGGAGGGTGGGGGCGGGGGGACAGTGCTCTTCCTGAAGTCCACAATCATCTCCACTGTCTTCTGGGCGTTCAGCTCCAGGTTGTTACCACTGCACCAGGACACCAGCCGGTCCACCTCCCTCCTGTAGGAGACACCAGGACACCAGCCGGTCCACCTCCCTCCTGTAGGAGACACCAGGACACCAGCCGGTCCACCTCCCTCCTGTAGGAGACACCAGGACACCAGCCGGTCCACCTCCCTCCTGTAGGAGACACCAGGACACCAGCCGGTCCACCTCCCTCCTGTAGGCGGACTCATCGTTGTTGGAGATGAGTCCAATGAGGGTGGTGTCGTCCGCGAACTTGATCAGCTTCACGGAGTCGTGGCTGGAGGTGCAGTGGTTGGTGTACAGGGAGAAGAGCAGGGGAGAAAGAACACAGCCCTGTGGGGCTCCTGTATTTATAATCCGAGAGTCCGAGACATTCTTCCCCAGACGCACTCGCTGCTTCCTGTCCGTCAGGAAGTCAGTGATCCACCTGCAGGTGGAATCGGGCACGTTGAGCTGGGAGAGCTTGTCCTGGAGCAGGGATGGCAGGATTGTGTTGAAGGCAGAGCTGAAGTCCACGAACAGGACCCTGGCGTAGGTCCCCGGGGAGTCCAGGTGCTGTAGGATGTGGTGGAGGGCCAGGTTAATGGCGTCGTCTACAGATCTGTTGGCTCTGTAGGCGAACTGCAGGGGGTCCAGGAGGGGGGAGGTGAGGGACTTGAGATGGGAGAGAACCAGGCGTTCAAATGACTTCATGACGACAGACGTAAGTGCTACAGGTCTGTAGTCATTGAGTCCTGTGATCCTGGGCTTCTTCGGGACGGGGACAATGATGGAGGATTTGAAGCAGGCCGGGACATGGCAGGACTGCAGAGAGGTATTGAAAATGTCCGTGAACACAGGAGTAAGCTCACTGGGGCAGTGTCTCAGAGTGGCCGGAGACACGTGGTCCGGGCCAGGAGCTTTGCGGGGGTGCAGCCTCAGGAAGAGTTGTTTAATCTCTTTAGCGGCTATTGTTAGGCTGGGGGCAGGGCTGATGGGTGGGTCGTTAGAGTAGTGGGGGGTGGGGGAGGGAGAGGTGTCAGGGGCAGCATCAAAGCGACTGAAAAATAAGTTCAGATCGTCAGCTAGCTTGTGGTCATCAGCACAGGGGGGGGCTTTGGGTTTGTAGTTGGTGATCTCCCGTAGGCCCCTCCAGACAGAAGCAGTATCGTTGTTACCAAACTGCTCCTGTAGTCGTTCTCTGTGCCGGGACTTGGCTGCTTTCAGTTCTTTCCTGAACTGATATTTAGCTGCTTTGTAGCCGCTGCGGTCACCCTCCCTGAAAGCAGACTCCTTTGCTTTCCTGAGCTGCCGGAGTTTAGCAGTGAACCAGGGTTTGTCGTTGTTATAGATGACCCTGGTCCTTGTTGGAATGATGCTATCCTCACAGAAGTGGATGTATGACGTCACAGTGTCCGTATATTCATCCAAGCTGTCTGTGGCAGCTCTGAAAAGGTCCCAGTCTGTAGATTCCATGCATGCGCGCAGCTCTTCCACAGCTTCATCAGACCACACTTTGGAGCTCCTCACTGCAGGTTTCGAGAGCTTTAGTCTCTGTCTGTAAGCAGGAACCAGATGTATCATGGAGTGACCTGAGAAGCCGAGGGCTGGCTTGGGAACAGCGCGAAAAGCTCCGCGCACGGTGGTGTAACAGTGATCCAGAGTGTTCTCCTCTCTGGTCGGGCATTTGATAAACTGTCTGTATTTGGGTAATTCCTGGCTCAAGTTTCCCTTATTAAAATCCCCCAGGATAATAATCAGAGAGTCCGGGTATAAGCGTTCCATACACAGTACTTGCTCTGCGAGTGCGCGCTGAGCCTCGCGCGCGTCCGCGCATGGCGGTATGTAAACAGAGGCAAGAATGAATGAAACAATTTCCCGCGGGGAGTAATATGGTTTACAATGGATGAAAAGATATTCCAGAGCAGGAGAGCAGTGCTTGGAGATCACTGTCACATCGTTACACCAGTTTGTATTGACGTAGAAACAGAGCCCTCCGCCTCTGCTCTTCCCTGAGAGCGCACAATGGCGATCCGCGCGAAACAGCCCAAAGCCCTGCAGCTCCAGAGCGCAGTCCGGGATCCGCTCATTTAGCCAGGTCTCAGTGAAGCAGAGGACACAGGATGTGGCGAAGTCCTTGTTTCTTCTCATGAGCAGGCTGAGTTCGTCCATCTTATTGCCCAGTGAGCGTACGTTGGAGAGAAAAATGCCGGGGAGAGCCGTGCGCGCTCCTCTCCTCCTAAGACGCACGAGCAGGCCTCCTCGCTTTCCCCTTTTACGGGCCCACACTTTTTTGGCTAGAACATGAACTAAATCAGCCGCAGATGCCAAGAAAACAGGCAGTAGGTCCATGGGAACGGTGGGTCGGATGTTCATAAGTTCCTCACGGGTGTAGGAACAGCCAGATGCACAGTTAAAAAGTAAAAACAAAAGAAAAAGAGAGCAGCAAAGAGCCATGTCGACCGTACGAGGCGCCATCTTGAAGACAGGGGGGTCACACTCACTTCGCTCTCAGATTGTCTTCCTCGTCCTGTTAAAGCTACAGATGTTTATTCTGTTAAAGTTAGAGATTTTATTTCATTGTTCACTTATCTTGTGCTGTAACTGGTGCAACACTGAAATTTCCCCCAATATGGGACCCATAAAGAATCTCTTTAATCTCGTTTTTTGAAAAGACAGATTTTTGTGCCATACACATAAAGTTTCACGTCTTATTGAGCAAAAACGTTTGAGATTTTTTCAAAATGGAGATAAAATAATCCAGTTCAATCGTGCTTTGAAAAAAGGAAAGCCCTAAATTTATAAATGTATAAATGTATACAATAGAGCTGTCAAACGATTAAAAAATGTAATCGAGTAAATTACAGCTTAAAAATTAAATAATTGTTTAAACTATCGACAAAATGCCACATTTTTCTGTAAATGGTTGTTCAAATGGAAAGATAAATGACAGAATAGTTAGTTTATTATAACAATAAATCCACATAAAATGGGATTCACATTATAAACATTATAAACATTATAAACATTATAAACATTATAAACATTATTAACATTATAAACATTATAAACATTATTAACATTATAAACATTATTAACATTATAAACATTATAAACATTATAAACATTATAAACATTATAAACATTATTAACATTATAAACATTATAAACATTATTAACATTATTAACATTGTAAACATTATTAACATTATTAACATTATAAACGTTATAAACGTTATTAACATTATAAACGTTATAAACGTTATTAACGTTATAAACGTTATAAACGTTATTAACGTTATTAACGTTATAAACGTTATAAAAGTTATTAACATTATTAACATTATTAACATTATAAACATTATAAACATTATTAACAATATCAACATTATTAACATTATAAACATTATAAACATTATAAACATTATTAACATTATAAACATTATAAACATTATTAACATTATTAACATTATTAACGCCATTAACGTAATTAACATTATAAACATTATAAACATTATAAACATTATTAACATTATTAATATTATAAACATTATAAACATTATAAACATTATTAACATTATTAACATTATTAACATTATAAACATTATAAACATTATAAACATTATAAACATTATAAACATTATTAACATTATAAACATTATAAACATTATAAACATTATAAACATTATAAACAATATTAACATTATTAACATTATAAACATTATAAACATTATAAACATTATTAACATTATAAACATTATAAACATTATAAACATTATTAACATTCTTTCTGTTTAGACTCAGACCAAAACTATTGTTTGTTACAGATGACATTTAAAACAGTCTGAAATGAATGTCTTTTATCGTTTGTGTTTTCAGAAAGTCGAGGAGAAAGAGCCAAACGATTGTTCCGACATTACACCGTGGGATCCTACGACAGCTTCGACGCTCCGAGGTACTCACTCCTTCACACAGTACTCACTCCTTCACACAGTACTCACTCCTTCACACTGTACTCACTCCTTCACACAGTACTCACTCCTTCACACAGTACTCACTCCTTCACACAGTACTCACTCCTTCACACAGTACTCACTCCTTCACACAGTACTCACTCCTTCACACTGTACTCACTCCTTCACACAGTACTCACTCCTTCACACAGTACTCACTCCTTCACACTGTACTCACTCCTTCACACGGTACTCACTCCTTCACACGGTACTCACTCCTTCACACGGTACTCACTCCTTCACACGGTACTCACTCCTTCACACGGTACTCACTCCTTCACACTGTACTCACTCCTTCACACAGTACTCACTCCTTCACACAGTACTCACTCCTTCACACTGTACTCACTCCTTCACACAGTACTCACTCCTTCACACAGTACTCACTCCTTCACACTGTACTCACTCCTTCACACTGTACTCACTCCTTCACACAGTACTCACTCCTTCACACAGTACTCACTCCTTCACACAGCACTTTTCCCCTTGTGTTTGTCGTTTGGGTTTACACGGAGCTTCAGGTGAGGTGAACACTGCAAAAAATGGCTCAAATTTAGTAAAAAGTGTCTTAATGTGAGCACATTCTGACTGAGCCTTAAAACAAAAGGACAAATAAAAATGATCTTTTTTTTTTTTTTCAAAACTTTATTTATAGATTTTCATTTATAAACACCGAACATATCAATAAATAATCGTCAAAGATTATGAAAACAGTTACACAACAGAAATAAAAAGAGAAAAAAAAAGACATTACATACATGACACACACAGGGGTATGCAAAGTCAGAGACCTCATTGTCCACTTTAACATCCTTATAGGATAAGTCCGTGGGTTGGGGGGGGCACACTAAAGGTTCAGATAACTAAGTATAGGTTTCCACGCATCATAAAAGTTATGGGGCTTGCCAGCCAACTCATACCTCATTCTTTCAATGTGTAATACACCCATTAACTCTCTAAGCCATGCT